CTACCATTCGTCGTAGCATAGTCCTTAATACAAAACCAATACTATCAAATAGGATAAGACTTGGTGGGTTGGAATTATGGCCAGGGCAGCTGACCAGAACTTAACTATTGCATATTATTTACATTTACTAGTCGTTTGTTATAGTCTGAAGGTGGGACCAGTGAACCCGGCGAGATGAGGGGATCATTATCTCGGCGAGAGGACGCAGACAAAGAGACCTAATTCACCCGCCTCCCAAGCGGGGTCGAGGTGGGCCAAAGTGCTGTCGATCTGACCTCACCCTTGCCGATGCCGTACTCCCGTACTCCATACCCATACTTTATCTTCCAGTTCAACCCCTCCGTTCCCCCCCCCCACCCCCGATGAAATTTTCGCAACCATACTGTCTGTACCCTGCTGCAAAGTACATCGGCGTCCATGAAGTTTAAATACTGTGACCTTTTGCGTGAAATCGATGCCCTTTCAAAGTGTACAGATAACCAAGTGTAAAGAAATATTGCCCTTGGAACAGAAAAAAAAATTGATTTCTGGCTCCTCGCCACATGTATTCGATCGAATATGTAATTCCAACTCACAGTCTTTCACTGAATTTCTTTGGAAACCATTTCATGACGGGAATGTAGACGACGAGGAACATGTTGATGATCCACACCAGTGAAAGTTCATCGACAAGTTGACCTGTAAATGAAATTTAAGCCAAATATGCACTCTAAATAACTGCGATAAGTTCGGACAGAAGGAACTGGGGTCCATTGAGGGGAGCAGACACAGAACACCACGACTTCTCCGGATTGGAACTATGCCAGATCTGACCCTTGTGTTCTTGTCACTGCCTCGATCTTGTTATGAGTTAGAAGCCCAGGTTCATCCAGGACTAAACGAACATAATACGTGCACCTGGTAGGTCCTAGGTGGGTGCAGGGGATGTCCGCTTGGGGCAGAACGTCGTGATGTGTGAATCGTCAGTGCGACCAGCTTCTCCAGGTTTCCTCTTTTGACGCACGCTCCTCGGCCTACCTACCACTTTAGACTTAGTGTTTAAGAAATAAAGTGAAAAGTGAGTAGAGCACGTAAAGGGACATCGGAAATGGGGTTCTATCCAGGGCAGTTGGCATTGTTTTTTGTTTTGTTTTTTTTCTATCTGATGCTATCAAACCTTGTGGCGTCTTATGTGACGAATATCCGTAAGCTGTGAGTAGGCAATAGATACGCAGGATTTTGCTTTCAACAATCGGAAGGAAAAATTTATAACGCTGCTCAGAACAATTCCTAATACAAGCTTTTTACGATTTCGATGAACCAAAATAAATGCCTACCCCCACCCCGACCGACCTACTAATCCAATCCGCCTGGGATAAAGTGTCATCCAGCCCGATGCATATACCCTGGTAAAATCCGCTGCTGTAAGCTTAAGAGCGTTTGCATCGGTTACGTGATCCTGCAGAGAGTTGCTGGCTTGTTAAGTTCAAGATGAAAGGAGGCAGGACAGATTGATGTGGGCTAATCTCATGCTTTTTGGATAGATGAGGGAGAGATATATAGGAAAAATGGGTAGGGAACTCTTGCAGGGCTAGGTGAAGGAAGGAAGGGCGTATCTGAGCACCATAGCTACATGTTTGGGTCTGGTTGATATTCAATTTTTGGTTTCTATGTTAGTCACTGTACTCTTTCTCATTAATAGCGAAGTTATGGCATTTTTCATAATGACACCGCCATCCGCACCCACCCCGCGCTCCAAAATGCTCGTCGACACATCGTTATAGTGGAACTAAAACGGTCCTAATGAAAAGAGCCATTCCAGCAGCACAGGGACGCACTTCACACGCGGAAGGAGGATCGGCCGGCGAGGCCGGCCGATCCGACTTCTGCTAGATAAATTTGCATAAAGTGCAAGTTAGGTGCCCCCACATCCTTCATTTTTCAATACTGGTCATACGTAGAAGTACAACCTGACCGCTGTAATTCGAAACTTGCGCCCGAAGAAAATCATTTCCATTCAAATCAATGTCTGCTAATCCTTAGAAGACAACTGAGTGGCCAAAAATAATTTCAGAATAGTTTGAAGAAGATTGGAATCTTTGAAGATATCCAAAGTCGAATGTCCTGACCCACCGAATAAGTTCAGTGTCGCATGGTAGTACGTGGAAGCCAATCCATTGAAGGTGAGTAGTAGTTGAGGTATGAGGAGGCCAGGATTCACCTAAATTACCAGGATAAGTCCATTTCCTTTTTACCTCTCTGCAAGAGAAAATTAGTGCACGTCGGCTAAGAGGGGTGAAGAAATGGATCTCAGCGAAGCATGTGCAGGCCACCTCAGAAGTGCAGAATGCCCCTTCTCTTCCTCTCCCCCCCCCCACCTCGAGCTGAACAGTGCCAACATTTTCTACGGTGATCGCTGAGAGGTCAGTTGCTCCGAGTTTTTCAGAGAACTTCAAGATAAAACTTCAGCCCTCTTGAACGAGAAAGAAAAAGTAGAGCAAGGCCTATGCTTCTGGAGGGGCCTTCTGGGAGAGAGAGAGTTTATCAGAGAAAGATTTCGTGACAATGAAATGGGCGGAGAGCTATAACTATTGTGCATTCTTCGCTTGGCGCCCTCTTTCCTACCTGTTAGACGAAGGGTGGTAGCAATGAGGAAGACACACTGGTTACGAATCTGCGCCCCTTTCTCCACCTTTTCGATTATCGCGAAATGTGTCCTTTAGCACGGTACATGAGTCAAAATCCTTAGCACATGAGAGTCCTGAGCTCTGAGTCTACCAGTTAACATTCTCAGCGGGTGATGAGCAGGGTTAGTG